CCTGTTCGTAAGTAAGAAATTTGCTATTAGTGAATGAAAATCGGCAAAGCAAATAATATATTTATTTTTATTGTTTACATACTTACAACAACAAGCAAAAACGTTAATTTTGTCTGAAATCTGAAAGCGTAACCGGCTAACGGTTTGTATCAAACGTAAAACCTTTAGCTAGTTCACTGAAACCACTTAGTTTGATACAAACAACCCTTCAAGTCGATTTAATGTTACTTTAATAAAAAAAAAAAAAAAAGTTTGCACGAAGATAAAATTTTTATCTTAATTTTGGCAGGTCTGTTTGAATACCAGCTATATGCTATAATGGTCCGTTTTGAACAATTTGTTCGGAGATTATAGCGTTGCCTTGAACCGTAATCCATACCAAATTTCGTGAAGATATCTTGTCAAATAAAAAAAACTTATTTAAGAAGTTAAAAATACGGGTTATGATTATCTATTCATCATTGATTCGATTTCTTGGTACTCCTGTCTTGCTAAAACGAAATGCCTTCGTCTCTCCGTGCTCCTCTAATTGTCATTCCTGATTGTTATAAATCTTTACTTGCTGCACTTTTAGGGTAATACCAGAATAACCGTTTATTTTGTGACCGGAGAGAAAAATCGCAAGCAAAATAAATGAAGAGGTTGGTGCTCTTCTCAGGCCAAAGTAAACATATGCCACAATCATCTGATTTTCTTACCGAAAAGTTCTCAATGCTTAAAATTTTCTCAACATGCAACCAGGGTTGTGAATTTTTGTATTAAAAAATTTCGGATTGAAAATTAAATTTTCATTTTTTAATTCAAGATGTTTGGGATTAAGCATTAGATTTAATTTTTTAAGGGGGGCGTACATGTAAACGCCTGAATTTAGACCAATTTTTGGAGGCTTATTTGAAATGGAAAAAACTAATGAATGATAATAAATCTCATCATGTTTATTAAGTACATATTAAAATAGCTTCAGTTTCAGCTTTCTGAAATAAAAATAAAGCTATCTGAAATAAATCAAAATCTGGCACGCCTCAGACCAAAAAGTCGAAATTTTCACCCTTTTTTCCGACATATTTTGAGTCAAAGAGGGTCGTTAAAGTTTCGACCATGGACAAGCGTCGAGTTGAGACGGAACAATTAAATGCATTTTTTCTAAATAAATAATGTGATTTTCGTTCTAAATATTAACAGGCATAATTTTAAGATGTTAAACTAACTATTTATAAAAAAAACGATTTATTTTTTATATTACATGAATAGCTCCCCTTAATTCAAAATCTTTGGGATTAAAAATTAAAAAATTGAAAAATTATTTTTGGATTTTAATGAATGCGAAAAAATGGTAATTCTAAAACCAATAATTTTTTTTTATTCTTAGTTGTATGCTTGAGACTAAAATTTTTCTTTTTATTTTTCAATGTGGTAGTTGAGATTAAAAATTAAAAATAAATTAAAAGTAGATTAAAAAGTAATTATTTTTGGAAATAAAACAATTTTGTTTTTTCATACGGTTTTTGGAATTAAACTATTTTTTTTATATATTTTAATCTGGTATGTGGAATTAACATATTTTTTTTGATCCGGTATGTGGCATTATAAATTTTTATTTTATTTTTTAATCCCGTAATAGAGATTCCACAAAAATTTTTAATTCAAATGTTAATTTAATTTTTTAATGCATTATTTGCAACCCTGCATGTAACTAACTTTATTAACATATTAGCATATTGCTTATAACTGTAAAGCAGCATATTGTAGAAAGCAACAATGATAATTAACTTCGCGACAAGCTTTGTCATAAACGAAGCGAGCTTCCCGTCATTTTTTATTTGACGTCACGAGTATGCTTTCTCTTAAATGCCGTTTAAAAAGGCTAACGAGACAAAATTTTAGTGATCTCTATTGATATCTATCTAGGTAAAAAGCATACTTTGGAATACGAATATCTAGCAGTTCTTCATGAAAGTCGCGATTAAGTAAATTTGTTTTTTTTTATTAGTGAAATATATAAACTTCAATGAGAAATTACTGCTATCAGCTGTTAAGTGCTAATAGTGAGAGAAAACTACCCCAAACCAATTGACAAACTTAGGCCGTTGCTGGTAGCTATTACTGCTTAATTTCAGTAGTTACTAGAAGTAAGAAGCTTTTGTTACTCTATCCAGTATTTCACCTGATTTCGACTAACTTAATTTTTTATTTACTTCATTGTGATTTATCGATTATGTGCCGACAGTGATCCGATTGACATCCACACTTGTTCTCAAACCAACTTCGTTAACTTCTCCGGTTCACACAGAAAAACAAAAACTCTTTATTAATAAAATGCTTTTTGATTTTGTTCTACGTGATCTCATCTCCATCAAACATTTTCACAAATTTTCGTCTTGATTCTGTGGATCGAAGTTTTTTAGGCTTCCCTTGTAAAAAATTTGTGTGTGCTTATATTGCTTTAGATGTAACAAATTGCTATATTACTTGTTTGTATATTCTTCTGTGTATCTACATACTATATATAAAATTAATATCAATTCTCGGTTTATTGAAGCTTCATGTTTTGTATGTCTATTAATTAACAAGGCTAATGCGTTTGCTTATCGATATTTGCATTTTGATTATATTGGCGCCATTTTCATTTTAAATTACCCTTCTAATGCCTTACATAAGCTCGATAAAAGGCATCGAAATCAAAACAGGAAAATACTCGGAGTCAACTGAAAAAAAGACAATATATAATATGTACCGAAAGTGTGATTTACATACAAACATAACTGTAATGCTAGAAACAGTCACCGACGCAAAACCGTAGACCGAATCAGCTGATACCACCTATCTTATGAGAGCTCAGTGTAAATACAGACCGTACGATAGGATATCCGTGAAATTTGGATCTTTCCCGTAGAAACGAGTGAGAAAAAACTAAATGTGTGCAAAATCATGTATACAAATAGAACAATAGCAATATTGGTAAAATGAAAACAGAAGAGAACAACTGATTTCTGCGTTGCAACTACGAGCATATATTTGACACATTTTGTTTAATACGGACGGTAGGTACGGAAGGGCGTAATGTCGGTGACTGTTTAAAGCATAAGTGTGTTTAATAATCTCGCTGTTGAATGCTCTCATTTGTTGAGAGATCATAATTGGGGTTCTTACATATGGAGGCGCTTGCCGCCTTCACTTAATTCTAGTGTAAATACACGAAAGCTGACATCAATTAAAATTAAATTATTTCAAGTGTTCTGTAAATTTATAATAATTTACAACACTCGCACATATTTGCTATAATTTAAAAGAATAAAATTGTAAACATATGTGTATATGTTTATACATGTATATAATAGTAGAAATTCATATGTAGCTATATACGACTGCATGTAAATTTCGACAGCTAGGAAAGCTAACAGCGCTTATGGTAGAAAAGCATCGGCAGATGAATTATGATGCGATTGATAGAGCGAGAAAGTCGCCAAGCCAATAAGGGGTTAGGCCAGTCTAGAGCCTAAACAAATGGGCTAACTTTGTTTTTTCTATATTAAAAAGTGTATTTGACTGAATAAACAAATTGTATATAGAAATTTTAATATAAAAAGTGGGCTACTGAAACAATCTACGGAATCACTTTTTACAATTTTTTAAATTTTCTTCGAAGCTTCGCATGTGTTGACTATAATTGACGATTCAAAATATAATTCTAGTAAAAATATCACTTTAATTTTCGCATTAAATTGAAGACTTGATTTAGCATAATTTGTATGATTTGGTTTAGATTAAAAATGCACCATTTTGTTCAATAATTTCTTGTCATTTTCATAATGTCACTAGATGGAGACTCTTGTCACTATTAGCAAAAAACTGGAACATTCGATTTTCACAAGATTTTTTTATAGGCGACAAAACCATTCGCCATAGAAAGGAACCGGTAGTAATTACTTGATGCCAGATCTAGACTATAAGGTAGATGCATAAGAACCTTCCAATCAAGTTCCCGAATTTTAAATGAGCCACCAGCGATGTTTGTGGTTTGGCGTTGTCCGAATGGAGCACAATTCCACTCCCATTGATTAAAGCTGGTCTCTCTGTGCCCTTGTTTTCTTCAGACAGTCTAACTATTGACAGTACAAGTCCGAATTAGGAGTTTGGCGGTGGGGGAGCACCGTCCTGACCGTCAATTCTGACTGTGTCACCGTTTGCGCTCGCTAGATACAGTTTTCTAAAGCCGTCAATAGAAAAAGAATGGCTTTCTTATTACTAGCACTTAATTCATAATCTAAAACGTATGCAATTAAATTTTCCAACAAAAAATTTTCGAACCCGCAACTTCTGGAACTCGCTTGATGACGAATACATGTTTAAATCGCTTCGGAATTGCATAACAACTTAACAGTTTTAGTGTTTTCAAATTTAAAAACAAAATCCGTAAAAAGTAGGAACACCCACAAAACATTTCGGTTTTCACATATTCATTCCAAAACGCAAAATTAATACCGCAATGTTTTCAAACATAGTAATAAATCCTATTAAATCTTTCTGTGAAAAACCAAAATATTGTTTTCATCATCGTCAGCTTAAAGTCCACGGGGCGCATGTCAAATTATAAACAGAAATGCAAAATCATCTCTGCATACTCATATACCATTCAAACAGCAAACCAAAAACTCACACAAAGCAACAAAACCACAAAAAAAGAACACAAAAACAGTTTGTTAACCAAAACAAATGCAACAAACACACAAAAGTGGCCTTCTCGTAATGCTATTAGAATGCAGAAAAACTGGCATTCAAAGAAAGGTTTGCTACACGCTTATCCACACACACACACACACACGCTACCCACATACATGTACATATATACATTCGTTTAGAGGTAAATGAGAGAAGTCAAACTCACTGATTAACTTTGACAGCGATCATCACTGAAAATCACTCAAAAGCCACAAAACCAGCATTGAAACGTCAAACTGATTATTGTTTCCCCTCCTCTGTCTCTTTGTTTGCCTTTGCAGCACCCAAACTACCTGCCACCATACACGATTATCAGCTGAACGGGCATCAGCTAGACATTTGCCGTGGCAGTTTGCCCGCCAGCCAGCCGACACAGACGGGCCTACTCTTAGCGGGTGGCAACGGCAACACGTCGGTCTTGAGCATTTGTGCGCCCAATATGAGCAGTTGCAGCCTGAGTGCCACCAACAATTCGGGACGCACCAATTTTACCAACAAACAGCTGACCGAATTGGAGAAGGAGTTCCACTTCAATCGTTATTTGACGCGTGCGCGACGCATCGAAATCGCCAACACGCTACAACTCAACGAGACGCAGGTGAGTCATAACCTTTTATTTTACTGTTAATATTTTGCTTTTAACTTCCCACACTACAGCGTTTACTAAGAGATTACTACATTTCTTTCGCAGGTGAAAATCTGGTTCCAAAACCGACGCATGAAGCAGAAGAAACGCGTCAAAGAGGGTCTAATACCGGCGGATATATTGACACAACAAAGCGTCGCCACCACGACGGCAGCAACAACGAACAGCAGCGCAGCAGCGTCGGGTCCAGCGAATCCCACTGGCAATATTAATGTGAGCAACAATTGCCAAAGTAGCGCCAACAGCAGCAGCAACAACAACAACAACAGCGCGCAAATGCACAATGGCCCCACCGTCGGTGGAAGTAATCACAGCGCAGCTCGTTTAGGCTCGGCGACCAACGCCAACAGCAGAGAGACTGTCACACACAACAACAACAACCACAGCAATAACAATGGCAGTCAGAATAGCAACAACACAATAACTAACGGAGATTGTAATCTGACAGCGAATAGCGATAATAGCCGTGAATCGAATTAACGCAAACGCATTTGCGCCGACATCACAACGCTGACCACCATCACTTAGGTGTTCCCACTGATGACTCCATCCGCTGGACAGGTGGAAGTACACCGACCTTATGCTTATTTAGGTATTATGTGGCAGCTATTAGTTAGGTAACTCGAGCGCGTGTCAATTGTGGTTAGTTTTATTTGCCAAATGACGAACACATTCACCCACTACAACTACAACTACAACTGCAATTGCAACAAAAACAATGAGAAGGGTAGAAAATGCGAAACAACATGTAGCATTTGCTCATTTGGCTGTGATAACTGTTTAAACTATAAAGTCAACACTTACTAAAAAAAATCTATAATCAACGCATACACACGCACATACATATGTACAACATACATGCACAAGTACATAGCTAGCGAAAGGTATGTCAGTAGCTTGTATTATTGTACATACTTAGTTGTGAGTGAGTATACGAGTATTTGCTTTTTAAGACACACACACACCGTGCAATAATCAAAATTTTTACGCACAAAAGTACAGTTATACATAGCACAGTCGCATATAAAAGTATATAAATATATAAAACGAGCAGCTACCAAATTGCAAAACTGATGATTGCATTAAATATTAACTTTGATTAGAGTCTTACACCAGCGTAAGGTGTGCTAGCAGCATCGTGAGTGCCGTAATTCGATGCAGATACTCGTGCAGTGTCGTAAAATGTGCCATATTCGCTGAATACATATAAGGTTTGCAATCAAATCAAACATTTTTATTTAATATATAAACGTATGTAAATAAGTCTGAATATTTATAAAACAGAAAATTAATTGGAAAATAAAATTGCTCTCCACATCTTTAAATATTCGCGTTCGAATATACGGGCGATTCGGTTAGCTTGGTTTAATCAGTTAATCGAGTCATTTGTGCTGTTAATTATTCAAATTGCTGATTAATCGAATAATTTAACATTTTTCAAAACAAAAAAATTTTATAAAAATTAAAAAAACGCGTTAGCACTGAAACATGGATCACTTCCTTTTATAATATTTTTTGAGAAAAATATTACCTTTAAATTTTATTATGCATATAAGAAAGTGTTGCATGAGATAAACCAACAAAGCGTATCCATTATTATTATCAATTCGTATATAATTTTCTAAATGAGAAAGTTTTACGTATATGATTACCAAATAGTTTTCATTTTGTATGCTCAAAAAGTTAAATTTATTTTTTGGTCACGAACTTGGATTGGCCCAATATGTTGTATTTTGATACAATTACAACTCACATCCCTAAAATGATGAATGAGGCTATTTGGAAATATCTTCAGTGAAAAATTTTAAGTGGCACACCTTGTGTGAAATTAAAAAAAAAAAGCTTTTTCTATTATTTCGATAGGCTATATCTTTAAAAATAACATATTAAAATTTCTTGGCGATATCTCAGATAGTTTTGAAGTTACACGCTTCTAAAGTGTTGCCGCTCAGTTCAATCAGCTTAGTCCGTTTATCTTTTAGAGTGGAGCCAGGTAGAAATGGCATTTTTATGAAAAAAATAATTTTTCGCACAATTTAGTCGGACATTATCGGTTTATATATATATATTTTTTTTTGGGTATCAACATCCGTCGGAGCTATGGCCGACCGGTAGTAGTCATTTTGAAAAGTGGTTGACGCGATTTCTTGATTTTGGGTAATCTGAAACAAACGAAACATTTTTCATTTTGAAGTATGTCAATAATTGTATTATAATTTTGTTAAATAGCGATGAACAATGATGTAGTTCATGCGATAGCCAAGACTTCGCCAAACTTTTAAAAATATTTAAAGCAAATCGGTTCAGTAGATCGGTCGAAATCGTGCCAACGAGCGCTCGAGACCTTGCATCGAGTCTCAGTTTCAATCACTTTCAAGTAACGTTTAAGGCACAGCAAGGTTTCTATATTATCCCTAAGCGTTTAAAGTGTCCGAAAATATAATTAATTTTTTTTTTTATAAAAAAAAAGGACCTGTTTTCGCTTAAACGCATATTTTTGAAACCTACATTTTTCGAATTCGCTGGAGTGATTACCCAGAGACAAATAATACGATCTCTAACAAATTATATTTTAGCGCCGTCGGGGATCGCGTGTAACTCGAAAAATTTTTATTTCTTCTTTGAAAATTTCACTGTATATTCTTAAAATATGTATGTATAAATATTCGCTTGAAAATTTTAAACAACTGAAACAGTAGCATTTTCTTTGACATTCTCAAAAATCGCCGTTTTATAGGCTGCCACACTGGGTGTGTCGCTTAAAATAAGAATAACAAAATATGACTCCATTTTTTTTCAAAAAGCATTCAACCGGCACAATGTTCACCGCCGAGTATCAGTTGATATTGTTCAAATCAACATTTGATTTCAATAAAGTGCCACAACTTTTTTCGTAGCGAATGCTTATCTTATGGTCACGAAAATATATTTTTCATAAAACTCCAAATATTTGCAATAAATGTAAAAAGAAATTCGTTTAATATTTTATTTAGATTTGTGGAGGAGAAAATTTTCGAAAGTTGAAAAAATAATAATATTTATATTTTAATGTTAGATTATATAATTGGAAACAAACGGTACAGTTTTAATATCATTTGACTAATAAAATTTGCTCGAAGAGTGGAAAGTATTCAGACTTAGCAACGTTGTAAATACAATAGTATTTAAAATCAATATTACCTATATTATCAATAAGTGTTCTGTAAATTATACACAACTGTAACTGTACATATGTAAGTATGTACACACATAGCTAATTGCCATTAAAAAATATAAATAAAAAATTAAACAAAAATATGTATGTATGTAAATTTCGAAATTTAATATTATTGATACAAAATACAAACTCAGGGTTTTGCAGATGGCGAAATATTGTTAATTTCTGCAAAATATTACGAATAAGCGAAAACATGAAATTTTCTGAGAAGTTAGTGAATACAGATAGTAATGCAATGAAATAATCAAAATATATTATTGTAACACATATTTATTTACTTTAAGCAACAACTAAGGCATATTCAATTGAATGTTCACAAACTACCAGTATTTATTAGCTTCTTTGTATTACTAAATGATTGATACATATACATATACATATAAATATGTACATGCATATTATTGTATATGTTACAAATCGCATTCTATTTGTTACATTGTGCTAAATTATATATAAATTCTCTTTATTTAGACTGGCATAAGCGATTCCTCAAAAATGATTGTACAATATATCAATTGAAAATCGTTCTACATATAATAGGTATGTGAAGACGATATGTTTATTATAGCACTAATTTTGTTGTATATTTAATCATGATTCATAATTTTAACTTAATATATTAGAACAAACTAGTCCTAATGGTAATATACAAATGTATACTAAGTTATAAATTATTGCAAAATAAAAACTACATAATTTCAACTGTTGACAAATCACATTTCAATCAAAAAGGAGTTTTGGATTAATTATCAAAGAGGAACGGCAGTGGCAGCCGCCTTATCAGGTCACAGCTGTTAGTTTCTTTTCTTTTACCGAGCCACTGAATAATGCAGATTTAGAGAAAATACATAATTATTTCTTGACTTAGTCGAATAGTCATTATAAAGAATTAATAAACTCTCTGTAAACTTGTATAAATTAAAAGCTGCTTTGTGTAACAATGTGTGGGCTAGCAATTTAGAAGATTATGTGAGAGTATTTAATACAGAATTTGAACTAGGCGAAACAACGATTTTGAAGTGATTTTCATACAGATCGAATCAACAACAACCATTACATAGCGTTATTGGAACGAACGAACCAAAACTACGTTGACAAAATTAAATTACATGAATTCAATGACTTGGACAATGACAAAATTGAAATTGTATTACATTCACATCCATCGTATTCTCAGCATTTGGTCACAGGATTTTATATGTTCCCAGACCGCTAGGGAATGCTAGCAAGAAAAAAATTAGCGACAATGATGATAATCGAAAGAAATTTAGGTATACTTTTAACCTTTAAGTATGGGCGTTTTATAGTAATGAAACTATTAACGGAGTCTGTTCAGGCTTTTTGGATTACTTTTAATGAAAAGTGGCTGAAAATAATAAACTTCTCTAATGTAAAGAGGCCACTTCTCTAATGTAAAGAGGCCATCTCAAGTGTCGAGTGTGGCAATGAGTGACAATAGCAAATAGCACTTTGGATCTGCAACTCATATTGGCATAGACAAATGTTGAAATCTGGCGTTTTGGAAGTAAATATGCACGTCTCGACAGGTCCAGATGATTTGGACATAATAAACTAAACATTTTTTCGCATTGTTATTTTATTCAGCTGTATTAAAGTCAATACAAGTTACATGTGGTTCCGGTACTGGTATTGAAAAGTTGGAAAATTACTATAATCGTTGAATCAAATGTTGACAAATAAAATTGTTTCTTATAACGATACAGACTTTTCAGCTTGCCTGATGTGTTATGCATATCTCTTTAACTGCTGGAGTTTCAAGCTTCGTGGCAATAAGGTATATTTCTAATACTCGTATTTGAAAAATAACGCCTATTGCGAAATGCTCATTCACACCGATTTCTGATTTATTCCCTAGAAAAAATCTTTATTGAAGACGTGTTTTGATTAGAGTCGAAATTCGGTAGACGCTTTTAAGCCAACAAATGAACTTCTGATATGAAAACTCTTTGAAATCAGATATCCGTTCATAGCAGGTTCAAAGCTTCTAAAACTCTAGTTAGACAACATTAAAACCGATGAAAATGAACATCGGAATTATATGAATTTAGAATTTGTGTAGAAGTCATTTCAGTAATCTCCAAGAATTAGATAATAATTTTTAATTTTTTCTTTAATTTAAACGAATTAAAATTTAAATGTTCTGTATTTGTATAAGGTGCTTTAAATAATAAATTTATCTTAAATTTAGAAAAATAAGTTGGTAAAATGTATCGAATAATTGCATTTCCGTCTTTAGTTTCGAAAAATACGTTTAACCAATATTTAGAATATGATTATATTACCCCAAATATTTTGAAGGCTTTCAATCTTTCGAACTAATTAGAAGATTACTACTGGTAAAAGATTTGGCGTTAAGTTTTGTGTTGCACCAATGCCAAGAGCTTATAGTTAAGTCCAAAGCGTAAACTTCCAGTGTCCATAATCCTTGGTCTCTCATTGTATTAAACCGATTTCTTATAAACAGATGCATTAATGTCACATGTCATACGCAATACATCAAAAGGTCTTTACTATTTTCAGTTTTTATTCGACTCGATATCTGAAATATTTAATACTCAAATCAAAACCCACTTTGTATATAAGGAAATGACTTTGATATTATTTATACCAATCCATCAATTCTTCAGTAGACGCCGCTATCTCAAAAGTAACATGGTTTGATTAATTGATCGATATATTTTTAATGCGAAACGCTTAAAAAGAACTATTTCTGAATATTTCATAAAATTAAACAATTTTAATTTACACAACATCTAATGTGTATCTAAAATGTAATGAAATTGCAAAACTGCAATGAATATGTCTTATATTTTCACTTGCAACATATTTTCAACATCTACTGTTAGGTAGCTACTTTACGGAAAAAAGTAAAAAGAGAAATTAAAAAGAGCCCTGCATATTTTTCGAAATGTTTAAGCCATTATATAACCCAAAAAAGTTGATAAATAAATTCTGTAATTTTTTTTTCGATAATACTACTTTTTTTTATTTATCCATATACATATATATTTTTATATGAAATCAAATCAAGAAATTTACAATTGACGATATTATTATTAGTATTTTTATACCTGTCTTACATATGTACGTTTTAAATCAGATTTTACAAATTAAAAGCGTTTTCCCCACAACTCACGTTTCCAAAGTCGGTGAACCTAATACATTTTTTGAACACTATTTCTATACCCAATTTACGAGGCAACGCTAGAGAGTTTTTTTTTCAATTTTAATAATCGTTTTCATTTTACAATAACAAATTAACCGATTCTTTCGCAGAAGTTTGCCTTTTTTTCTTGAAAGTGTTTACATAAATTGAAAACGCCGCATTTAAAAAAAAAAGATTTGACAAATGTCACTAAATGTACCATTGGCTTTTAAATATATATATATTAATTTGCATTTAAAAAAATATCATAAAAATGGGACTTTTTTTACACGAATTAACCTTACTCCATCCCTGATTCTGAAGTTAATCAAGATTATATTGTTCTTATTGCATTTATTTTTGTAAGTATCCGATTCATTGCCAACTGATTACAGTTCCAATTTTTTTTATCGATAACTTTACAACATCCTCATGAGTATTTTTCCTGTCAGCAAATTGCATTCTAGCTGTCTGGTAACCCAGTTACTGATAAGACGACAATTCATTATAGCATAACAACTTTTTACTTATTCGTCACCTTCATTTTGACCTGAGGAAACAAACTGATAAATAATATTTTAAATTAAAACAAATTATGGAGCTAGTAGGTTTTGTTCACAAATACGAGTGGGGAAAAGTAGGGAATGACTCTGCAGTGGCCCAGCTCGCAACACTCAATGATCCGCAATTTAAAGTTGACGAGAAAACGCCTTACGCTGAATTGTGGATGGGCTCCCATCCCAGCGGACCCTCAAAGTACAAATCCAGTGGCATTACTCTACAAGATGAACTACCATTTTTATTGAAAGTTTTAAGTATAAAAAAGGCTTTGAGTATTCAAGTTCACCCTAACAAAGTAAGTACACGTAATGAGTACACAGCTTGCACAAGTTAAATATATTTTTTTTGTTTTCAGTCGGAAGCACAAAAATTGCATGCGAAAGAACCCAACATATACAAGGACCCAAATCATAAGCCTGAAATGGCGATTGCCCTAACGCCCTTTACTGGTTTGTGCGGATTTCGTCCTCTCCCTGAGATTCGAGAAATATTGATGGATATTGAACCACTTAAGGCTTTGGCAGTGAACGATTCAAATGATCTCAATCTATTGGCTGCTAATGATGAAATTGGATTGCGTAATTGTTATCGTAAATTGATGAGTGCTGAAAAGGACACAATTGGGGACTGTATTGAATCAATTTCCAAAAACTATACAAAACGTAATGTTGTGAACATAAAACGTCACGATTCCACTATTTCTATATTTTTTGATTATTTTCACAGAATTATGCAGATACGATATACTTGAAATCTTTAACACACTGGAAAAGGATTTCCCAAATGATGTCGGTGTGTTGTCTTTATTCTTTTTGAATGTTGTTCGGTTGCAACCTGGACAGGCAATGTTTCTTGGTGCAAACCAAATACATGCATACTTGTCGGGGGATTGTGTCGAGTGTATGGCTTGTTCGGATAATGTGATACGCGCTGGCTTGACTCCCAAATATAAAGATCTCAAACAATTGCTTAGTTCACTAGAGTATAAAGGTGATCCAGCCGAAAGCAAAATATTTACTCCGGAACGTGTTGACAGCCACCAATTGATATTCAAACCACCGGTTGAAGACTTTTCACTGATACAATTATCACTGAAACCTTCTGATTTAGAATATGTTTTAAAAATTAAACAATCTCCCGGGATTTTACTTGTGATAAGTGGTCAACGCTACTTAGAAAACAAAGGATTGGATAAGTTGAAATTAACACGTGGATCCATTGTGTATTTGCCTTTTGAAAGTGGCACAGAATTACGATTTTCATCTGCTGGTGAGGATGAGCATGAATTTTTGGCTTACATCAGCACACCCAATGCAGTGCCATCCACCAACTTTCATATATAGTTGAAGCTGACGAATTTATCAACATTGATTGCAGTTACATTTATATATATATGTACATGTAGATTTTTAATCTTATATAATAAAAATGCAACTACTAGTATAACTTTGTATTGCCAAAAAATATATAGTGTTGTTATTCCATATTAGCACCGATTTAATTGTAATTTATACCCTTTAAAATGTAAGTACGTATGTACACATATGTAAATCATCAGCTAAGTAGATTTAGCCATATCCGTCTGTCTGTATATACACGAAGTAAAAATTCAGTGTTTGAGATATCGATCTGAAATTTTTGACACGTCCTTTTTACAAGAAGCTGCTCATTTGCCTATTTCGAACCAGTATAGCCTATAACATCTATACAAACTGAACGATGAAATATGTGTACTATCTCCGATGAAATTGTTCAGATAAGATCACTATAGTATATAGCTGCTATACAAACTGATCAATAAGAATCAAGACAAAGATCTTTTGATTACCTTTTATGCTAAAGGAAGGAAGGGTATTATAGCTTCGGTGCAGCAGAAGTTAAAGTTTCTTCTTGTTTACATTAAAATCACTTCCGTGCCAACACAACTAATCAAGTGCATTTGCCAAATTTTAAAGAATTAAAGAATATTGAACCGACGTAATGAACCGGAACTAACGCGGATTTGGACATTGAACAATTTTCGTTACCATACTGAAATAGTTACATGGTGTTTGAGATCAAAATTAAATTGTTATATTTGCTATTTGTTTGGTCTTTGATTTCCCAATGAAAAAATACAATACTATAGCTGTGACAATTAAAACAATAATTTTCGTTTATGTTAACATTCATCTATTATTGATATTAAATAATACATTACGAGTATAATGGCAATCTACACGATATTTATTTATACATAAATTAACAAAAACAGCATTTTCCTAAGATTTTTTTTTTATAGAATTTTAATACATTTAATAAATATATGAAGAAGACAGCTTACTACTTAAGATAGAATGAACTAAGACTCTGATGGATAATTAGACATATTAGTTACCGATATAACAGGGTACATAGTGTAGTGAAATTTAACGCAATTGTAGATTTTTTTTATCTATAACACCTACGCATGTACGATTGTTCAAACCGTTTGCAATCAGTTGTGGCTGTAAGATTGTATATGTATGTTTGTATAAGAGTGTACATTCAGTAGTTTAAAAAATCTATTTTTCTACGTATAGTGTATAATCTCAAACATTTTTGTTTTTTTCAAATACGTAATGCAATAGGATATAATGCCTTTTAATATGTTAAAATTGCGCTAGTCGACCGCTTTCAAAAATTTAAACAATAAAGTACAATTACGATAAATATGTATATATATATATATATATATGTGCGCTCGTGTACGGAAAATACGCAAATATTTAAGATGCTTCAAAGCACATCAATATTCGCTATAAATATGCGAAACGTTTTGTATAAGTGTATAATGTAAGTAGTTACTTAAGTGGTGGGTAGTTAGTTCAGCATTTGTATATTAGTCATTCGTAATTTCCGCTTTTTAGTGTATATATTGTATATGTATAAAGTTGTATATAGTTAATTTTCACGTGTAAATTGTAAAAATGCGCCGTAGTTGGTACGTCTTCTCGGTATTGTGCAGTTTTATGTGTGTATCAAGATTATGTTGAATATATCAACTCGAATTGAGTTTTGCCTTTTTTGTGATATCCATTTATCTTATTTAGCTATACATTATATCATAATAATTTAATATCTTTAGCTTTTGAGCAAATTATTGGCACGCTTGTTAACATCATCCATGCGAACATTATTAGCGTCTCCCTTGGCGTTAATACGATCAATTTGTTTGTTTTGATTTTCCAATTCGGATCCCATATCTAACGCCATATTTCGCAGATTTCCCAACATTGAGTTTACTTGTCCAATATTCTCATCCATTTCATCTTCCCGGGCGTCATTTGTAATACGCGGAATGTATCCACTTTGAGCTGGTACACCACCCATTCGTTCCCGTTCATCTACAACTCTTGTTGGTTGACTATTCACGATTTTACCATCTTCATTTGCTTTCCAAGCATTATCGCCGTCGTCTTTTATTGCAACCTTCTTCCAAGGCACAACACACAAGCCACAGCATTTTTCCATACCGCTTAGATTTTTCTCAGCTTCTTTCATGTCTGCGTTAATGCGATCCATGCCTTCTTCAATTCGATCGAGTTGTTCCCCTTGGTCGTCCAAAGCTACCAGAGTTCGGATGCCAGCCTCTTTACTTTCTTCCATAAGATTTAGCATGCGACGAGTACTTTCGAGGGACTCATCTGCTACCTGACCAGATTTAATTTGCAATTCCTGCAATTCTGTACGAGGTACTTCGGGTGCAGCCATCTTGATGTCTATGTGATGATCTCAGCTTATTTTTTATCTTATTGTTCACTCACTGCAATTAACCACAATCTTAGAAATTTCGCAAATACTTGTTAATTGTTTGGCTCACCTTTTCTAAATCTGCAATAAAGACAATCTTATCGTGAGTCATATACGAACTGCTTGTTTAATTTTAGCGTAATTTACTAAAATCATTAAGTTTTTATAAAAATCACTTCCTTAACCTCTACCCTTGAAATATATTGCAAATCAATGGTAAAACTCGCAAACTTTAGTGACGAAAAAACCACCTACTCTATAACTCTTTTTTTAACAATTTTATTTGTATATCTACACACGGTTGCAAAGTTGGTACCATTTTTTGTCTATTTGTTTTCAGCAGTATATTCGTAGTTTTGAGGATTTTCAGAGAAACCGAAAAATAAAATTATTAGCGCAACAGGGTGCACTTTAAAAAAAAATATTTCCGCACGAATTTAACGTTCTTATTTATCGTATAATTTACTGTTTTGGTGAACTAATTTTGTAACAAGTTTCCTAACATTAAAAATTTGATATAATATCTTGTTTAGTGGCATATTTTTCTTCCAATAGTTTAATTTTGATAAAATTTCGACCACGGTAACAGTTACAACCCTGTGGCCGTTTTGACGAAAGCAGTGGTTGAAAAAGGAATTGGAAACATGGTAAATTTAGTTGAGTTAGTTGAGTTCTGTCATGTTGAATGGTTCAAATGTTGTTCGCGTTCGCATTCGCATGTTATTCGTTGTACGTTATTCGGGTGGGTCGTTTTTGTTGTAATTTTTTAGTGACACATTAAAAATTGTAAATTCTAGCGGCGCGCTTCTAATTTATGTTTGTACGGCATTTCTGCAAGTTTTATCTGCTCCCTTCTTGTTCGAAAATATTGCGGTAGTGTAAAGTTATTATATTTTAATATTATTTGTGAGAAAATTTGAAAAGTGCATACCTACGCTACTGAAAATCGGATTAGGTGGTGGCCGTGGTGACGTGACGGCAGTAAAAGTAGTAGCAACAGCGAAAGAGCGAACCAGTAGAAAAGATAATATGAAAATAACGTAGAATAAGAAAAATCCGTAACGAAAGCAGGAAAGGAGAAAAGCAAAGGTGGTCAAGTGCAAACGAATTGTTGCTGGTCCGCTGCCTTGGAGTAGCACTTGGCGAGTTTGCGTCTTCTGCTTCCGCCGACTCGTGGTAACGTGAAAATAAACGGACAACGGACGTGTTGGGTGTTGGAATCGAATACTTGTTTTACGCGACGCGAAACGGTGAGTACGCGTAAAGTTTACCTACCTACATACATATACTTACTTCAACCTTGTGCAAAGTTGTATGCTAAAAGCAAAAGTGCATTAAGTGACTCCAATAAGATAAAATGTGATAAAAATCTAAAAAAATTATAATGATGTGTGGATGAATTAATGCGTCATGTTCAAAACAATTTGGGTGTGTCGCTATTAAAATTTATAATAAATACAACTCGGACATCGTATTGTTAACTTGCTACGCCCTGAATGTTGTTTGTTTGCCACGTTAGTTAATAAATAAAATAATTTACATACATCCTATCGACTTAATCACAACTAATGTGGGAATACGTGTTAGTACTTTAAACAAACGTTTTATGTTGGTACTGGTAACTATTCCATCATTACACAGTACCACTTTAATATGTACATGTGTAACATACATATAGTAAATATAGTTTTACAATGTGGCTAAATTAATTGAAGTGTCTTCCCACTTTTGTTTACCCTAGTAAAATAGTTTTCATTTCACCTGCTTTGATTCTAACACCTGCTCCTGGCATGCGTGTATGTGACGACATCACGGTTTGTTGTGGGTTCGAATTTCGTCAGGACAATACGGATTTGTGTGTAGTTATACTTTCGTTTTGTTATTTTATAATAGTTAAGCTGGGGTAATAGTTCTTTTGATTTGATCCATTTCGGTTAACGAACCGTCTATAAAGGAACTGTGTAATTTAATTCTTTAACATATTCAAATAATCATAAATAAACAATAAATTTTTCAATAATATCGAGTGATGTACGTTTTTGTTTTGAATAAAGTAGTTGTTCATTTTCTTTTATTGTATTAATTTGTAAACATTGCTTATTTTTTCAGAAACGAAATATATAGTGATTAAAAAAAAAACTGGGGTTTTAAGAGTTTTTAAAAATACCAGATATAACTTTTAAAAACAAGATCTTTCACTGATTAAAATTGTTTGCTATCGTTTTGTTCTTTTCCTATCTACAAACATTTCGAATAATAATTACGCTTGTAGTAATCAAAACACAATTTCGTGATACGTTCAGCAAGTGTGCAAACTTAGGAAGTGCGCGAGCCGGGTTTGTGAATTAAAGTAACGCATGCTAATTACGCATCTTTCAAATCGAATTGTCGCAACTTATGCCGTAAATCGACGTCATGTTTAAGTGCATTCCAATATTCAAAGGCTGTAATCGCCAAGTTGAATTCGTTGACAAACGTCATTGTTCGCTGCCCAGTGTGCCAGAGGAAATTCTACGTTATTCACGTACATTGGAGGAGTTGTTCTTAGATGCCAATCATATCCGAGATTTGCCAAAGGTAAGAAAATAACATCCATTGTTCAATATATTGTATATACATATTTATATTAAAAGCTTACGTTATTTCATAGCAGTATCAATGTATTGAGAGCATCAGTAGAGAATTTACATCAAATATTAGATATACCAATGTTTTAAATGCTCATGCAAATTTTTTTTAATATTGGATGTTTGGGAAAGTCTATCAGTTTTCTGTAGTATAATTTTTCATCCGAATTGTTTTATACCTTCCTTGGCGGAAGTTGCCAATTAAATTTAACGCATGGGTTAAACAATTAAAAGAACGACATTTCAGAGTCTTATTTTGCTTCTATTTACGTTGTAAGCAGAATTTTCGTTTAAATATAATATAATGTGTATGTTAAGAAAAAATTGAATGCAGAGAATGACAACAAAGAGAACATAAATTAAACTACCATACCACGTAAGTATACTTCAGTTAGCAAAAATATTTTTCTTTTAGTAAATTTTCGAAAAAGGCTACTCATATTTTTTTAGTAAGTATCTTCCTTTTGTTGTTCTTTATTGATTAACACGTTTTTCATAATATATTTTGATTACTTTCTGCCTGCAGTTGTATATCTCGTCCATTCTACTTTCTTGAACACCATTATTACCCATAAATATTTAACTTGCATTGTCGCAGTAAAAAAAAATTGTGTTAATAGTGTCATTCTTCGACGTTTTCCGCTGTGGTGACATTTAAATACCGATTTTCCACAGGTTGACACTCGTTAGTGGTGGTGACTGTTGTTGTTTTAATGTCAACTTTTTTGCTCTTTTGCAAAAACTTGATTTCCCATACCATTGACACATTTTTGCTAAACATTTTCCTATACTTTTACACATTAAACTAGCGTTGGTGTTCATTTAAATTATGCCGCCACAACTACACCAACAATTGAGTTTATGTATTTTTGTTTTCTAATGCAAATGTCGGCAAGTGAACCGGTGCATTTGTTGCCCGAGGGGAATATTTTTAAACACAATTTTGTATGCACTTACATGTTTGTACGGCGTTTTTTGTATTTTATAATAATGTCATGTTGGCAGAATAAAAACGCCATATGAATAAATAGACACATTTACAAAACAAAAAAAAAAGAAGAAATATGTTGCACCAAAGTTATTAAGTTTGTGTGTCAGAACGCAACATAGCGCATGAATGTTATTATGCGCATGTGTGTGCATATACACATATATACACGTAGATATGTATTTATTTTTAAAAAAGCAATATTCGGTCAATTTGCCAATATTTATATATATAAACTCTATTTATGTAATTTTTTCTAGAATTATTATTCTATAACTAAAACAAGAAAAACCGTTACCTTCGGCTGCCCGTCACAAAAAAAAAAAGTTGCCATACAAGAATTTGATTATTATCGTACTTTTTATATGGCAACTATATGTTATAGTGGTCCAATATCGGTGGTTTCGGCAAATGAGCAGCTTCTTGGGAAGAAAAGAAGAAAAGGACGTGTGAATATTCTCAGAGTGATATCTAATTGAAGGACTAGTTCAAGTGTATACTGAGAGACGGACATGGCTAAATCGACTTCTTTGTGTGTCACAAACTTCGTGGCAATAATATAATATAATATAAATATACACACATACATACGAGTATGTGTGTTATATTATTTTTTAACTTAATAACCAAGACTTAGGAATTAGTCTATTTCCATGAGCACATTTATTTAAAGTAATACTTAAATTTGATTTACTTGCTTTAATAATTTTACTAAAATATAGAAAAATCCTATCTTCCACATTTATAACTATAAAAGTATAACCGAGTTTCTACTTTATTTTCATGCTTGGTTGGCGACTTTTCTGCCCTTTCGCACGCATTTATACATCTACGAAATAATTTAATTATGTGTAGATAGAAATAAACATAAAATATTCTCACACATATCACTACGAGTACAAGTATCTACTTAAGAAAATGTTTAGAGACACGCGAAAATGGGAGCTTTTAATTAAGAACGCTAGCGAACTGCTGCCGTTTTATATCTTTTCAGACTTTCAGAAAGCTTTTATTACGCTTATGCCAGTTAATCAACATGAAAAATGCTATACGAAATATCATTAATTGCACACGCGAATTTTTAGTTAAGTGTGTGAGCATTTATAAATTTCTGCAGCCTCTAAGCCGGCTCTAACATTTACGTGTTTATGGTTTCCTAATCGAGTAGTGACATCATTGTGTGGCGTTATTTAACAAATATTTTGCTAACGATTCACAAACGTTAAGCAGCAGTTTCGTGTGGAGGGTAAAAAAACAGTAGATGTGAGCCTAGACTTGGGCGAACAAGTGTGCGTTGTTGTTGATATAGCAGGTCTGTAGCGTGAGAGATATTCATATTCGAATAGGTGTACATATTTTATTAATCTTTTTCAATGATCTTTGGTTTATTTATTTTTTTTTTTCAAAACTAGTTTTCAACGACAAATAGTCGCACAATTTATTTGTATACAGTGAGTCACAAAAGTTTGCGTAAAAAATACAGATAAATTCGATAACTTCAAATATATGTTTTTTAAGTCATCTACAAAAATAAAAAATACACACAAATTTAATACTGTTATATGGCTTCTTTTAATCTTCTTATTAATATTCCAGTTTTTTTGTAATAATTTTGTTATTTTATTTACTAGGCGAAATCTATGTGTATAAACTGCTGCTTACTGTACATATGCACATTAGTGTAACACTGTAGGCTTCTCAGTTCTTTGTGTGAATTGCGATTTTCTATTACTCCAATCTATTTTAAGCTTTTTAAAAAAGTAAAGAAAACAAATTTGAATTAAAACCGGTTTTGGAATAATAAATTTGATTTAAGCCCCAAGTAATATATAGTATAAATACAGAAGCTCTTGTTTGTTATTTATAGAAATTTGATTTGCGTTTGTCGTTCTCCACTCTTTAGACAGTGGCAAACCTTCAAGTACACCTAATTTCTTGAGATCGCTACACTTAAGTATAAATTTATCTACATTTTTTTTCGACACCGGCACCACACTTACATTATTCATGTCCATTGTCGAATTTTGAAAGTTTTTTTTTCGACTATGACGTTTTTGAAGTGATCAATTAATACAAGAAAGCGCAGAGTTGTCTTCGATTGTCAGAAACTTTATATATAAAAGCAAGAAAAAATATATTGATACAAGAGAGTATGCGGATATCTCATTAAAGTGTTAGAACCGCTATCTTCAATGCAACCAAGTTTTGATTTACTTATTTTAGATCAGTTTTATAATTGTGAATGATTATTATTATACAAATTATTCTCAAAAATGAAAATATACCTACCTTTTTTTTTGATTTTCAAAACTTAAGACTTTAAATAAATTATACTTGTTGAAAGAAAACGCAAGATTCAAAACTAAGAGGTTTTTTTTTCATCGAAAACCTAATATTGCTCCATCAAAGAAAGCAGCGCAACACAATTGCGCATGCGCCGGAGGAGATGTTAGCGCAGGGTTGACTGATACAGTTTGTTCGATTCGTTACTCTCCAACGCTTGGCGAATCGAAGACAGAAATCTTGTTGGTCAACACACACGCAGTCGGCTCGTAATATTTCGAATCGCATAAGAGCAGAATGTATTATTAATTCCTTTGTGATATCTCGGTAGGCATACCTTCGGCGAACCTAGTTAATTGGCTGGCCATAATATTATATTAGCCGCCTTAAGGGGGTGATCTAGTGTAGAATTAAAAAAAATCGATTTTTTTTCATGTTTTCAAAGTTTAATTATTCAAGAATATGTCTACAAGAGGATTTTTGAAAATTTAAATTATTTTCAGATGTATAGACATTTTACTGACCCGGCCTCCAAACTGGTTCGGCTGGGTCTAATCGTACAAAAGACTTAACGCGAAGCTTTAAATGCGTTTTTCTCAGACCAGACCTTTTCAATACCATCGTGATACCCACGATTTCTTGAGTTCTACTGGACCGATTTACTTGAAATTTTCAGAGAATCTTCTTTATAGACCTCTCTCGTGTATGAATTAGTCTCATCCCCATATTTAAATTTTTATTATTTTTTAAAAATACGCGAAAATAAAAAAAATTGGAAAAAAACGTTTTTTTTTCTTTGTTTTTGTAACACTAATAAATAACTGATAAAAAACCGATACCAAAAATATTGATTGCCTTTTTTTTACGACACTTCAAAAATTACCTTAATTTCATGTCTAGACTAGAATACCGCCTTAATGAATTTGCGGCAAACTCTACTTCGATCTATGAGGGTCTGGTGATCAATATCTAGCAGTTTTGGGCATCTCAAAGGACCGGCGTTCACTGTCCGAGTAGGATTCTACCTTACCTTTGATGCGAGAATCAGTGTTATGACCTAAACTAACCTAGTCACACTCTAGATCTAATAAGCATAAATTATTAATCATAATAGGTAACTAACTGTAACATTTTGAGAGAAATATGCACTCGTATATAAGTACAATAGATCGGCTCCAATTGACCGAATAATGAGTACAGTATGAAGTTGACTATGCAACAAGTTAACAATTATATATTTATAATATAATATAATTTCCATTGTAAAACATACAGAAATAATACGCTTGCTGTTTAATATGAATAATTTCCAATGTATTTTTTTTGTTGCAATATTTATTTATTTTTATAAAAAGTGTTTTTATTGTAAAACTCTCTAAATTTAGTAATCTACTTAGCATGTTTCAATATTGCTTTTGTAGTAGCAATTTGTCTCACTGGTGTGCGTTTTCCTTTTAAGGATTTACTCAAATACACACATGCATACATACATACAAGCATAGGCGCATACGTATCTTAATACACTTGGTATTAAACGCTGGCTGAGTGAATTAGTAATGTGCGAGTGAGTAAATCAGGTACGAGAATGCATGGGCGCGCACATATACCTACATATATCTACATACATATATGCCGCTATATGCAACCATACATATGGGCACTTACGCTTACGAGTATTT